TGGACAACCCCGTGATCATGAGAATTCTAGGGAGGCTGAAGTAAACTTCAAATTGTTTTGGTTGAATGAACCTTTTAAGTGTTTTCTACAGGAAAATTTTTATTCAGTTTTGTCCCAGGTTTGATTAGACCCAGCTTAAATCTGTCAGTATTTACTAGGAGATTTTCAGGGTGTTCAGTGTCCCCCCAGCACATCATGATACAGACTGGGGGAGCTCCCAGAGCCTTGAGAGAGAGTCCACAACAACCATTTCCCAGTCCAATGCCACCTGGAAAATCCATTTTCCAAAAGCTGTCTAGAACCAGGTATTCTCTGCAGCTTCACTACTTAGAACCCTTTTATTTAGAGGAATTTTAGAGCGTGTATTCCAAAGTGGGATTTGTGGCTGCCTCCAGTGCCCAGAAGAATTGGAGCAGGGATTTACGGACAGATCCCTTTTCCTGCTTGTTCTAACGTGGCCTGTTAGGAACTCTTGTGTCCCAGCAGCTGAAAATCCCAAATCAGGAATCACAGGCCAGGGAAGAGGGGAGGTCCCAGCTCCCCCAGCCCCTCCTGGCCCTGGGGACTCCTGGCAGTGACAGCAATGGCTTTGGGAATGGGAACAAAGCAATTCTGCTGCTCTGTTGTGGATGGAAGTTTTAACAGTTGGTGCTCCTTGGGAGCAGCTGCTTCCCTTCCAGGGTGGGAAGGACAACCCAGCAGTGGGAAGGATCCCACCCCACTCAAAACCTGTCCCTGTTTGGATTCTAACCCTCACGTAGCACCAGTACGGACAATTCTGATCTCATCTTTGCTTTCTGTGTTGCTTTCCTCATCCTAAACCTCTTTATGACCTGAACTTCTAGGCTGCTGTGTTGATCTTCTAAAGCAACTCAAGTAATTCCTAAATAAACAGATTTAAAGACACTTTGTCAAAAAAAGCCTTTGGAGCTGTCACAGCCTCGCTGGCAACTTCTGCACAGGTTTTGCAAAGCAGAATTGAGATTTATTTGTAGTTTGTACAGCTTCTGACAGGCTGTAAGTGGCACTGCAGAGCAAAAGGGGAAATTTTCTCAGGATTTAGAGAATTAAAGGAGAAAAATTGGCAGTGCAGAGTTCTCCCATACTGCAAATCTGATTAAATTCACTGGATTGCAGGTTCTCCTCAATCACCCCTTAATTTCTAATGAGAGTAAAATAAGAAGAGCTGGGCTACTCTTGATGTTAATTAGCGCAGCATTATTTAAACACCATTAATATTATTAATTTGATACGGAAAAAACCTAAATCTTTGAAAAGAACTTCTCAAGACACCTGAGAAGAGTATGAAAATCCCAGATACAAGCGTGCAGAGCACAGTGTGAATCCCCTGGGGCTGCCTGCTCCGTGTCCTGGGGCTCAGTGGAGTTTGGGGCCCAGGTTTGTCACTCAGGTGTTCTCACCTGCCCTGTGCTGGTGACACACCTGGAGGCAGAGCAGCATCCCACCGAGCCCACACGTGGGCCTGGAACTGCAGCTGAAGCATGCGTGACACTCTTTTGGAATTATTCCCAGCTTCCAAGACTTCTTTGCCCTAAATCCTTGGCTGACCTGATTTTTTTTTTGTTGTTTGTTTAATATCTTTTGAACGGCGCCTAAGCGCGAGCAGGCAGGCAACGCTCCCAGCTGCGCCTGCCCCTGCCCTGGCGCTGTCCCGGAGCTCTGCCCCGTTTTTTGGGGGGCTGATTGCCGTGGTGCTGTGTCCCACCCAGGCCGTGCAGAGGGTGTTGGTGTTGTGCAGGGCTCCCTCGGTGCACGCTGTTTAACTCTGTGTCCTTCTGTAGGCCTCACTCCAGCAGTACCGCAGTAATGCTGGCTCCCCAGCCAACCAGTCTCCCACCTCTCCTGTCTCCAATCAAGGCTTCTCTCCTGGCAGCTCCCCTCAAGTAAGGGACTCTGTGCTTCCACAGGCCTTGCTTCTCGTGCGTGTTCCAGCTGGATTTCTCCATGGCTGCCCCGTAGCTGTCTCGCCGTGCCCCCGTGTGTGCCTCGTGCCTCGCCGCCGCCCCTCCATCCCCGCTCCCACAGGGCTCAGGAGCTGCTCAGCTGCCCCGTTCAGGGAGCTCAGAACCACAGCATCAGGCTGCTGCTGGTTTGAGGGGCAGAACCTCCAGGTGGAATCCTTTCAATTGCCAGGGTCCCAAGGGAGCTGATGGCTGTGAGGTTGGGAGGGCGAGAAAGGGGGAATTTCAGTGCCTCCTGCAGCAGGAAAGCTCCTGGGGCACGAAATATTTCAATATTGACACTAAATATCCCAAACAGATTTAGATCAGGATCTTTTCCATGTGAGAGCACACCCAGTGAGAGAAAACACTGGAGAAAATGCTCCTAAAATGAGCAGCTTGTGGCTGGCAGGGAATGGGTTCCCAGCACACTCCCTTGCATGCCAGCTGCTTTTCCTTGCTCTGCCTGTATCTCCTCACACATCCACATGTCCTGGATGGAAATCACGACTTGGGGGAGTGTGTGATACTCTGAAGGGCTTTTTTTTACCTGCCAGCAGCAAGGCATTAAAACCAGGCAAAACTTGAAGGTGCCCCAATGTAAGAAAGTGCATTTCCAGTGCCTGATGCTGCTGAAAGAGCCCCAGCTGGCTGCTCTGGAGAATCCCACCTGGAGAAAAGAAGTGCAGGGAATTCTTCCAGAGCATCACAAGAGGGTGAAAATCCATTTTCTGTTCCATCACTGAACGTTGAAGGCTGTAAGGAGGATCCTTTCTAAATAAGTGCAGCCCCTTCCTGGTTCCCAGGCAGAAGCTCCAGGTCTCCTTCATTAGCCAGGTCATGGTAAGCTCAGCCCTGGATCCGAGTGGCAGGAATTGTCTGCATTTCCTTAACCCTGCCTTGCCTGCCTCTTAACCTCTCTCTGCTGCCTGCTTCTGTGGGTTCTGCTGTGCTCTGTGTGCCTCCAGGAACCAGCACTGTCCCCTAGAGCAGAGCACGCTGCAAACTCTCAGCTCTCACTGGACAGCATGTCCAAATTTGGGGTTTATGTTGAATTTTTCCCCCACTTTGATTTCTCAGTCACTCTGGCTTGGTTTTGTCCCCACTGGTCAGTCCCAAGGACCAGAGCACACACACTAGGCTATGGTTTTTCCTGTTGGTTTTATCCTGTAAAAATTTCCTCAGGTTTTGCTGTGTTTGACAGGGACACCACAACTCTTGACTGGCAGGCAGAGGATTTATT